CTCTTCGCTCATCAACTTCTAAAATTGCTGCGCTAATTTTAGTGATTGGGTAAGTTTCTAATTATAACAAGTGATTACAATTAGTGAGCCAATCATCTTAACTGATGCACAACCAAACTCCACTTGCATTATGATTTTATATTATAGAAGATAACTTTCAGAAATGTTCTCTACAATTATGAAAACTAGTTTTCTTTATATTCGTTGGGAGACAGAATCTAAATACTAATAGTGTTGATTATGAGAAAAGAGCATTTGTGGATCTTATCAGAAAAATAATTTGAAATGATTGTTAATGATACATTCTCCTTCAAGCATAACAGTTAACAAAACTGCAACACACTACTTTATTTGAGTACATAAAGCAGTTGTTGAGATGAATCTAGAAAATAGTAACTGTTGAGTCTGGAATATATGACTTCAGTCAGGCACTACGAGAGATATCTCCAAGCTTAGATTTTCAAATCCTTGTCATCTTGTCTTTAAATACTATAACTAAGAAGTTCATCAAGTCCAGATCTTGTTAAAAATACAGAAGTCCATCTTGTGGTGCAGCATCTAATTCTCTTGTAGCAAACAATTCCCAGGCCTGATTACTGTTTGTTAGGGGATATTCTGGCACCTGTACCACTGGTTGGAATTATAGGATGTTTTTGAGGACTTCTGGACGTTGGCAGTATTAAATAAGAACCTCAATAATAACATACTGTTGTCACCACAGAGTGCAAGGTGCGGAAATTAATCAGTCCCGATAAACCTAATAAACAGCACTCTCAGTCTTTGGTGGTCATGCCTGGGGCCAGCTAGTGCTCAACTAGATGTCACAAAATATTTTGTCATACAACCATTGTTCAGTATCTAGAATGACCTTCTGGATTGAATAGCTGAAGCATTCAAGAAGCAATTAGATGTTGTTAAGGAAGTACCAAATCAGAATAATCAATGGCAATCAGGCCAACCTTTTGCCACTAAATAAAAGCCAAAAAAGCTGGGGATGCTGTAAATCAGGAACAAAAACAAGTTAGTGGAAAAGCTCAGCAGGTCTGGTAGCATCTGTGGAGAAAAAAAATCAGAGTTAACATTTCGGGTCAGTTCTGAGGAAGGGTCACCAGACCTGAAGTGTTAACTCTGATTTTTTTTTCTCCACAGATGCTGTCAGACCTGCTGAGCTTTCCCAGAAACTTCTGTTTTTATTTCAACCTTTTGCCACGGTGTACATATAACCCTCTGTTCTGAGATTGATTTTTAATGTTATGAATTTACTTTTTGTACTATATATATGGTATCTATAAAGATTTCTTTCAAGATTTGACAGTCCAAAGTTCTTTTACTGTGTTTCAGTCTTCTGATCATGGGAATCAGAGATGGAGCTTCTCTGTACAATTTCAAGACTTGATGGTTCTCTTTATAGCTGTGGAAATTAAACTCCCTTCCTTACAGCAAAGTAGGCGTACCTAAGCTGATTCCAGAAGGAGGTGTGCCACCATCATCTTAAGGGCAATTAAGAATGATCATCAAATGCTGAACTTGCCACTAATGCTCAAATCCAATGTAAGAGTTAATAAAAATGAAAGTGTACTCAAAGTACTCGGGTGGTGGTGGCATATTGTCACTGGACTAATAATCCAAAATCCCAGGTTAATATACTGTGGACAAATGTTCAGATTCCACCATGGCAATTGGTAAAATTTAAATTCAATAATTTTTTAAAATTTTAAAAGCCTTGGGAGAGGAAAAAAAGCTAGCCTAATGGTGACGGTGTAACCATTGATTGTTTTAAAACCTCATTTGGTTCACTCGTACTCTTTAGGGAAGGAAATTTATCATCTTTACCCAGTCTAGCTGTGCATGACTCTGCTGTTAGGGATGGGCACAAAATGCTGGCTGAGCCACCCACATCCCATGGATAAATCTTTTAAAAAAGCGCAGTCTGACCAGGGCAGTTTAAACATGATGGCTTCAAAGTTGCACTCGGGAGGTGGTGGCATATTGCCACTGGACTAGTAATCCAAAATTGATTTGCCTCAATTTAGCAACTTGTATTTATATAGTGTTACAATTTCTTTAGAGATTGTTAATATTTAAAGAGAAATCTAAACCTCATTTTACCCAATTGTAGTACTGGACAAGATTTTGCTTTTGCTAAATAAATGAAGCTAATTTTAATGCATATAACAGAATTAAGCCAAACCAGCACTATTAACTTAACAATATAAATGATCATTTGGTAGCGCTGAACTTTAATATTGCTGAGAAAAGACACATTTTGTAAAAGCTTGCACCAATCAGACAAATTGTAAGAAATGCCAATACAAGGAAAATGATAGTTACACTGTATGACAGAAGAATGCTGATTGATTGGCAAGTGGACAATAACTCATCTTTTATCCTTTACATTTAATAAGTTCAACACCATACCATAACTTTCATTCAAATGTACTTTATTTTGCATTTGCCTGTATTGAATTTTTTTGTAGATCTTTCTGTGGTTCTTAGGCTGCACCCTTCTCATAGACTAGTATCACTTATCAATTTAATACAGTTACATTTCCAAGCATCATTAAATTGATGGAATTTTGTTTCAGCTTGTTTTCACTAACATCCAAAGTCATGGTAGATGGAGACTAGAATGTTCGGTTTTAGTTTGTTACCTTATGAATTTAAATGTATGAAGTTGATTGTTAGTTTTTGAAGAAGAATCCCCACCTGAAATGTTGGCTTTGTTCCTTCCACAGATAAGTAAAGTCACTGTAGTCCCAGAGGACCATAGGGCTGCTCTCTCATTAGTGAGAGATGATTGGTGGTGATTTTTAACTTGAGAGTTACCACATCTCAGGCAAGTGGTAGGATTGAGAAGAGAGGACCTACATGGTAACTTCAGCCAGTATGGGAATTGAACGAGTGCTGTTGGGTTCACGTTGCATCGCAGACCAGCTATCCAGCCAACTGAGCTAATTGATCCATGATATTGACTGACTTATGACAATATTTTCTGTTGTATGGCATTAGTGTAGTTTTCCCCATAATTCTTTTATTATTCACTTATTTGACATGGTTGCTACTGGCAAGGCCTGCATTTAATATCTACTTCTAATTTCTCTTGGGTAAACGGTAGTCACTGGAATCGCTGCAGTCTGCATGGTGTATGTACACCCAGAATGGTTTGGTCAGGGAATTCCAGGATTTTGATCTAGCAATGATGCAGGAGCAGCCATATATCAGGATGGTGCCATTTGGATGGGAAATGACAGGTTTGGAAGGTGTTGTTGAGGGGTTGGTGAGTTTTATAGTGCCTACAATGATGGTGGAGTGAATCAATGTTTAAGGCATGCATCTTGATTTATATCAGCTCATATACAGAATAGCATTTTCTTCATCGGCATGTTCTGTTATTTCCTCCAAAGAACTATTAATCAGTGCTGTCTTTGATTAACCCGCATTTTTCTAATGAGTGCATTTTGCCCTGTATTATGGTTTTAAAAAGGTTAACAACTGATGTTAGGATAATAAATCAATCAAGAAGTCAATTGCCATTTTAACTTACTAAAAGCATCTATTGTTAATATGTAGAAAATTCCTTAGTTGCAAGAGATCCTTGGGGGGAAAAAAAATCACTGCATCTGATTATAGAAATTGTCGGTCAACTACTGTCACTTTGTTTATAGATGCTTACGTTGTGAGGTGGCATGCTTGCACAGAAAAATTGATTCACAATAACCCATAAAGCAATTCCCAAGGGTTGTTAGAACCTTAAATTCCTATTGATCCTTTTGTTGCAGAAGAGGGCAAGTGGAAACTTGGTCAGTCAAGATTTATGCAAAACATACTTAATCATTGGATTCAATGTTTTACTGTTGGGAAATTCAAGTACTTTAGATTGAAGATATACTCAGAAACACAGGAGTTATAGTATTTTTCTCTGCTAAATGGTAAAAATGTCTGTTACTATGCTAACACCTTACAACTAAACAACCTGTAAACACACCAGCTTTATAGTAGTAATACACCACCATAATTGTGGGTAAGACATTACAATATGAATAAACTATCAAAATAAATCACTTAATTTCCACAAAACAATTCTCTAAGATCCGCATGAAGTCAGTACTGTTGTGTTACTCTTAATGGAATGAATACAGTACTGAGTAGCAGCGGCTTAGAATAGTCTTCAAATGATCAATGCTGAAACCACTGTAAATGTGAATCTCATTTTTCTTTGATGTTGCCTTCAGCAGTCTTCATTCATGCTGACTGCCAACCAAAACGTAAAAGAACAGCAGTATGTAGAATAGGTCAGGAGCAATTACGAATTATAGTTATTGTAAATTAACTCATAAAGCTTCCATTCTCAGTGCCAACTAAGTTAGCCTTTGTAAAGTTAGAAGAATGAGTGCTGTGATTTTGGATTTAGCCTTCCATCATCACAAAAAACCTGAAGAGCCACAGTACTAAGAGGCAGTTTTCTGAATTCTGATTTGAGCTTAGTTTTAAAACATCTGGTATGTTACCAAATATCTCAATATGAAGTTGTATCATTGTACTTTCTGTGTAATTCCAATTATTTCTTACTGTAAATATTTTAGGCTTAAAATATGCAAAAGAATTTAATTTAAAAAGATTACCATTGCAAAATCTTTAATGATGGTAGAATTGTTAACATTCACCAATATTATTACAATAAGAATATGCTGAATAATGCAATAATCCAGAAGTTGCTGCCAGTGATTCTATATTTGTTGATTGGATGTACCTCATAGGTCCCCTTGAGAGTAATCCCAAAGTCATCGGTCAATTGATGAAGCTTCCACTGCTGACCACAAATTTCAGCCCTGTATCTTGTATTAAAAAGGTTCAATGTAACATCAGTACTGAAAAGTGAAGAAATCTTCAGCAAACATGTCAGGGTTTGAAGTATGGTAGAAGGAAAGATGGTAGGAACTCAATAATTGTACACTTAAGTTTATAATTTCCATCAATTAACATTTTTTGTTTTAAAATAGAAAGGCTGTGGAAGAACTTCTTACAGAGGCAAAGCGTGGAAAAGCCAGAGCTGAAACCATGGGACCCATGGGCTGGTAAGAATATACCTAAATATATCCACTAATTACAAAATAATACAAATAGAAGGATTAATATAATACAAAATGATGATGGAATCTCATAGTGCTGTACAACATGTGCATTACACCAATTCATTTTAATAACATTTAAACTCATTTTTCTCTGTAGATGTGAGTCAATTTTCAGATTGCTTGCCTAATTTAATTGCCTGACTAACAAGACTTAATTTCAAATGCCTATTTTACTCTTTTCTGATCAAAGATTGATTGAATAAATAACTCTGGGAAGAAGCAGAGCCCACAATGAGATTATTGTTAAGAGAGGAAATTTGTGTCATTACAACATGAAAGTTATTGGCCAAAGTAAAGAGGGCACACAGTTAGAAAGATCTATTGAAATAGAGATTTGCTACTATCATCTCATTATTAAGAAAAGAAAAAAATGGACAAACTTGGAAAGAAAAGGGCTAATTATTCTCATTTTGATGCTGAGGAAGTTATTAGAATTTTGCAGGACAGAATTAGGGGGAGCCAGAGGCCCCGCAAAGAGAGTTCAGGGAGCTAGGCTGTAAGTTGAAAAGCAGGACCTCCAGGGTTGTAATCTTGGGCTTACTCCCCGTGCCATGTGGTAGTGTTGCAAAGAATAGTAAAGTAGCACAGCTTAACACATGGCTAAAGGGCAAGTGCAGGGGGGAGGGTTTCAGATTTTAGATCATTGGGGTTTCTTCCAAGGCAGGTGGAACCTGTTTTTAAAAAAAAAAAGTGCATTTTCACTGGAGGGGTACCAGCATCCTGGCAGGGAGGTTCGCTTGTGCAATTCGGGTGAATTTAAACTCATAAGGCAGGAAGTTGGGAACCAAAGCAACATGTCAGAAAGTGAGCAGAAGGTAGAGGTTAACAGAATAAACAGTCTAACGACCATGGTGAAGGATAGAATCATTAAAGTTCAAAACATGAATTGAAAGTTGGAGTAAATGATAGAGGTGAGGCTCATTGTTATCAGGGCTTGATAAGTAAGGATGGAGTGTGTGGAAAGCATGGTGCACAAGAAAATACTAGGAAGACAAGCCAGTAGAACTTTCTTAGAAACTTTGTACCTAAATGCACGCAGTGCATTCAGAATAATGTTGATGGCACAAATAGAGACAAATGGGTACGACCTGGTGGGGCCTACTGAAACATGGTTACAGGAAGATCAGGACTGGGTGTTAAATTTCCAAGGATACTTAATATTCCGAAAGAATAAACAAAAACGAGCAGAAGGTGGAGTTGCTTTATTGGTTAAGGATGATATTAAGGCTGTATTAAGAAATGATGTAGGCACTAGAGACCAAATGTTGAATCAGTCTGGGTGGAAATAAAAAACAAGGGAAGAAGCCCATTGGTAGGAGTAATTTACAGGCCCACAAACAGTACTTCCAAAATAGGGCATAGCATAAACTATGAAATAATGAGGATGTGTGAGAAGTGCACAATGGTAATTATGGGTGATTTGAATATGCATATTGATTGGATTTAATCAACTTGGCAAGGGTAGCCTCGAAGAAAGGTTCATAGATCATAAAGTGTATGAGAGATTGTTTGTTTCTTAGAGCAACATGTCTTGGAGCCAACCGGAGAACTGGTTACTTGTAGATTTAGTATAAAGTAATGAGGAAGAATTGATAAATGGTCTTATAGTTAAGGATCCTCTTGAGAGGAATGACCACAACATGCTAAAGTTTCAAATTCAGATTGGAAGAGTGAAGACAGAGTCGCATACAAGAGTTTTAGCATTAGGCAAAGGTAAATACGCAGGCCTGAGGAAGGAGTTGGCCTGAGTGGACTGGGCAAAATATTAAAGGGCAGTTGAAGAACAGTGCCAAATGTTTAGGGAGATTCTAAATATTTCTCAATTAAAATGTATTCCTGAGAGGAAGAGAAATTATAAAAAGGTAAGAAATCATCCATGATTTAACAAGGAAGTCAAGGATAACGTAAAGGCAAAAACTAGAGCATATCACACTCCAAAAGTTACTGGCACTCTAGAAAACTGGAAGAACTTTAAACATTAGCAAAGGGTTACTAAAAGCAAAATCATAAGATCTAAGATGAGCAATGGAAGGAATCTAGCAGAAAACATAATCACTGATATCAAAACCTTCAACACATATATAAGAAGGAAGAGAATAGTGAAAATACATGTTTTATGAAAATGGTGAAGCAATTATAGGAAACTCAGAAATGGTGGAGTCACTAAACTAATATTTTGTCTCTGTTTTCACAGTGGAAGATAATTTCTTCCCAAAAGCTTCAGTTACAACAGAGGAACTTGGTGAAATTGCTATAACCAAGGAGAAAGTATTAAGTAAACTGATCGGATTAAATGCAGATAAGTCCCTGGGGCATGATTGCCTGCACTCTATGGTATTAAAGGGGATGGCAGCAGAGATAGTGGATGCATTAGTTATTATTTTCCATTCCCTGGATTCTGGAAAAGTACCAGCGAATTGAAAACATGCTAATGTTCTATCCTTTAAGCAAAAAGTAGGAAACTATAGACCAGTTAGTTTGTCCTCAGTAGTGGGGAAGTTGGAGTCAATCATAAAGGAGGAGATAACTAAACACTTGGAACAACAAGGCTCAATTCACCAGTGTCAGTTTCATGAAGAGGAAGTTGTGCTTGACAAACTTACTGGAATTCTTTGAGGATGTAACCAGCAATGTAGATAGTGGGGATCTGATAGATGTGGTATATCTAGACTTCCAGAAAACCGTTGACAAGGTACCGCATAAAAAACTAATACAGAAGGTTAAATCCCAGAGGGTTAAGGGTAGAGTATTGGCTTAGAGAGACGATTGGCTGACTGATAGAAAACAGAGAGTGTGGAAAAATGGGTCCTTCTGTGGATGGCAAACTATGACTAGTTCGAACCTCTACTATTTAGAATCTGTATAAATGATCTGTACGCAGGGACAGAGTGTAACATAGCAAAGTTCACAGATGTTATTAAAATAGGTAGAAAAGCAGGCAGTGATGAGGAGACAAAGTTTACAGATGGATATTGATAGGCTTGGAGAATGAGCCACAATCTGGCAGATGGGGTTTAATGTGGATAAGTGTGAGATTGACCATTTTGGCTGGAAAAGCAAAAGGACAAATTAATATTTAAATGGGAAGAAGATTCAAAGTGTATCAGTGCAGAGGGATCTGGGTGTCTTTATGCATGAATTGCAGGAAGTGGGTATGCAGGTGCAACATATAATAAGAAAGGCAAATAGAATCCTGGCATTCATTACAAAAGGACTGGATTATAAAAGTAAAGAAGTGTTGTTACAATTATTTAAGGCGTTGGTGAGATCACATCTGGAATGTTGTGTCCAGTTCTGGTCTCCTTACTTGGGGAAAGATGTGGTAGCACTGGAGTCAGTTCAGAGGAGGTTCACAAGCTTGATTCTAGGGATGAAAGATCTGTTGTATGAGGAGCAGTTGAATAGCTTGGGGTAATACTCGCTGGAGTTCAGAAGAATGGGAGGGATTGATCAACATATATAAATGCTAAAGGGGATTGATAAGGTGGATGTGGAACAGAATTTCCGCCTTGTGGGATAGACTTGAACAAGAGGGCATAGATATCAGGTGAGAGGAAGTAGTTTCAAAACTTAGTTGAGGAGAAACTACTTCTCTCCGAGGGTTGTAAATCTGTAGAACTCCCTGCCACAGAGTGCAGTGGTAGCAGAATCAATCAACAGATTCCACAAAGAAATAGATGTTTCTGATGAAAAGTAGGATAAAGGGCTAATAGGAGCAGGCAGAAAGGTGGAGTTGAGACCAGGATAAGATGAGCCATGATCATTTTAAGTGGCAAAGCAGGCTCGAAGGGTTGAATTGCCTACACCCACTCCTAATTGTTATGTTCCTATATCTGCACTTATAGCAACATGGATTAATTGGAAATGGTCAGCATAAATTTGCAAATGGCAGGTCAGATTTGAAATATTTGATTACATGTTATTGAGGAGATAGCCAAGGATATTGATGTGGATAATGCATTTGATGTGATGTAGATGGACTTTTTAAAGGGCTTTTGATAAGGTCCCTCATGGCAAAATTGTCAAGAAAGCAAGAGCCCATGGGATGCAAAGCAAAGTTGCGCATTGAATCCAAAATTGGCTGAGAGACAGGAAGCAGTTGACAAGAGAGGGATATTTCTGTGATTTAGAAGTCCGTTTCCAATTTGGACCCTTACTGTTTGTGGTGTACATTAATGTTTTGGACGTAAATGTAGGAGTTATGATCAAGAAGCTCTCTGCTGACAAGAAAATTGATAAGGTGGTCGTAGTGAGGAGGACAGCTGTAAATTTTAAGAGGATATCAATGGACTGGTCAAGAGGGCCAAGCAGTAGCAAATGGAATTCAACCTGGAAAAGCGTGATGCAGTATGTTCTGAAAGGCAAGAGTTTACACAATGAATGGTAGGACCCTGGAAAGTATTGAACATCAGAGGGACCTTGGTTTGCATATCTGTAGATCCATGAAGATAGCAGGTCAGGTAAATAAGGTTGTTAAGAAGGCACATGGGAGACTTGCCTGTATAAACTGAGGCACAGACTACAAAGGAAGGAGATTGTGCTGAAACTGCATAAAATGCTGTTTAGGCCATAACCGGAGTACCAAATGCAGTTCTGGTCGCTGCGTTACAGGAAGAATGTGATTGCATCAGATAAAATGCAGAGAAAATTTACCAAGATGCTGCCTGTGCTGAGATATGATTAAATATTAGATAGCCTGGAGTATTTTCCTTGGATTGGCAAAAATTGAGAAGAATCCTGATAGAGGCATGTGAGATTGAGGGTAGGATAGTGTGCATAGGAAGCACTTTTTCCATTAACCAAGGAGCATAAAATTAAAGTAAAAGTGTGACAATGCTGTCACTTTAAGAGGATATTTTGTCCTTTTATTTTCGGAGAGGTTGTAAGGCAGAGGTTCAGAGCTGTCTCTAAGAAAGTAAACAACGTGTGATGCCTTGGAAGGT